CACGGAAGCCGTGGTCACCTGCCAGATAATCCTCCCTTCATCTTTGTGTGCCCACCACCCTCAACCATGTGCCTGAGCAATAGACTCAGTCCTCTTCACCATCTTCCTAACCTACTAAGAGCATCAACACCATAACATGAATTCCCCCTCCTCCATGTAATCCAACGCTGCACCCTGGTCCACACCATAGCCACCACTTTTGAATGTCTCCCTCTTGAACTGCTCCCCAGATCTCCAGGCCTGTGTGTCCAGCTGCCTGGACTTGATGACTTCACTCACCGTTCTCTGAAACATCATAAATTCTTAACTTTCAAAACTCCTGATAGTCCCAGTGAAAAGTAACCATCCACCAACTTCCCCATCCTAGTTGATGGAGCTTCCATTGCTTCAGCTGCTAGGACCCAAATGCCTGGGATCCTTTCTGACTCCTCCTTTCTCTCCCTCACCTACAATACCCAAAAGTCTACTTGGCCCTTTTTTAAAAATGGACCCAGAATCCAATCACTTCTCTCACTTCTACAGCCACCATCCGGTTCAAAAACCAATTCACCTGGACTAAATTGCAGTAGCCTGCTTTTGGGTCCCTGTCTCCTCTCTCAACCCCATACATAATCTGCTCTCCACTGTGCAGGGTGTCACTCAGACCCTGTTACTCTATCACAGCTAGAACCTACAACACATTTGAGGAAAAGAAAAGTGATTCTGAGAGTTTCAAAAACCAATCCTTCAGAGGCGCCTGGATGGCTCAAACGGTTAAGTGTCTGCCTTCGGCTCAGTTCATGATCCCAGGGACCTGGGATTGAGCCTTGCTTTGGACTCCCTGCTCAGTGGAGAGCCAGCTTCTCCCTCTCCCTCTGCCCCTCCCCACTCTCAAATAAATAAAATCTTAAAAAAGAGAAAAACCAATCCTTCAAGTGGAACTTTGTTTACACTTAGACAAACTGAAGCTTTGTGGGGTTTTTAAAAAAGATTTAAGTTTTTTAAAAAGATTTTATTTATTTATTTATTTTTAAAATTTATTTGACAGAGAGAGACACAGTGAGAGAGGGAACACAAGCAGGGGGAGTGGGGGAGGGAGATGCAGGCTTCCCGCCAAGCAGGGAGCCCTATGCGGGGCTCGATCCCAGAACCCTGGGACCATGACCTGAGCCAAAGGCAGTCGCTTAACGACTGAGCCACCCAGGCGCCCCTAAAAGATTTTATTTAAGTAATCTCTACAGCCAACGTGGGGTTCGAACTCGTGAGATCAAGAGTCGCATGCTCTACCGACTGAGCCAGCCAGGCACCCCAAGTTTTAGATTCTAATAGACGTGGTGCATAGGCACAAAAAACCCTCACATAATATATGTACTTTTGAAAAATGCAACACATGAACAACATAATTTTGAGGATCTTGAATTAGGCCAGATTTCAAAGTCAGTATTTGTGAAAACAATGAAAAGATTCAACATTTCAAAATAATGGCATACCATTCAGATGCGATCTAGGTAAGCCACTGAGCACTTACTAAAAACTCTTATTAGACTGTGAAAGCTATTAAAACATCAAAGTAAAAGCTTCAAAAAAAAAAGCTTCCAGGAAATCATGCATATTCTCAATTTACTATTGGAATATAGACTAATATTGAAAAGAAACAGCTCTTACTATGGAAAATGATATTGCTATTGAGTTTATTAGAAATAATAAATATAACTTAAATCACCATGATTTATAATTTATAGCATCCATGTTACCTAAGTATACTGGATAAAAGTGCTATTTAGGCAATTATGTGCTTCATATTTTTTCCATACATAATTAAATATTAAAAAATAAAATTAATTTTCAAATCAACTTTTTAAATCTTTTTTTTTAAGATTTTTATTTCTTTATTGACAGAGAGAGGCACAGTGAGAGAGGGAACACAAGCAGGGGGAGTGGGAGAGGGAGAAGCAGGCTTCCCGCGGAGCAGGGAGCCCGATGGCGGGGCTCGATCCCAGGACCCTGGGATCATGACCTGAGCTGAAGGCAGACGCTTAACGACTGAGCCACCCAGGTGCCCCTCAAATCAATTTTTCAAAGCAGACATCACAGAATTACATTTAGCTATAGATAAGATTATTTTTCAATGACTAAACATTATTTTAAGATTTTAATTTTAATTTTTATTTTTTTAAAGATTTTATTTATTTATTTGACAGAGAGACACAGCGAGAGAGGGAACACAAGCAGGGAGAGTGGGAGAGGGAGAAGCAGGCTTCCTGCCAAGCAGGGAGCTGGATGTGGGGCTCCATCCCAGGACCCTGGGACCATGGCCTGAGCTGAAGGCAGATGCTTAACGACTGAGCCACCCAGGTGCACCCCCCCCCTTTTTAAAAAGATTTTATTTGACAGAATATTTTTTGGAGAGATCCTGCGCAAGGGTGCGCACAAAAAGGGGAGGAAGGGGAGAGAATCCCAAGCAGGCTCTCCACTGTCAGCACAGAGCAACTCAGGGCTGGATCTCAGGACTCTGAGATCACGACCTAGGCCAAAAACAAGAGTCTGATGCTTAACGGACTGAGGTATCCAGGCGCCCCAACCAAGCATTGTTTTTGTTAGTCAGAATAAAAGACAAATGGTTATTAAATATGGATAATGAAGAAATGAAAATTCAGCTCTTTTATGTGCCAATGACTGTCAAAATTTTTCTTTTTTTCTCTTTTTCTTTCAAGATTTTTTATTTATTTGACACAGAGAGAGACACAGCGAGAGAGGGAACACAAGCAGGGGGAGTGGGAGAGGGAGAAGCAGGCTTCCCGCGGAGCAGGGAGCCCGATGGCGGGGCTCGATCCCAGGACCCTGGGATCATGACCCGAGCCGAAGACAGACGCTTAATGACTGAGCCACCCAGGCGCCCCAAAATTTTTCTAAAAGTTGTTTTCATTTCATAAAAAAAGTCCAAAATATTCCTTTAGTATTTTAAACTGAAGTTTATTGGTGGAGAAATGTAACAGTCAATAACATCAAGTAAATTTACTTCAACTGAATTTTTTAAAGAAATCTGATCATTTCACCTAGGTAAATAAACACTCAGTGACCCATCATGTCTCCTCTGCGAAGTTTCTCATCTATCAAGACCTAACAAAAAAAAAAAAAAAAAAAAAAAAAAAGACCTAAAAAAAAAAATGATCACTACTTCCTCTGCTTTATCTTACACACACACACACACACACACACACACGTGTGCGCGTGCCTCCACAATCCAGATATTCCTATGGCTTTTCTCTCCATTTGAAAGGACCTTCACCAATATGCTTAGAAAATGCAAATAAATCTTTTGGTCATTAAAGTTCAAATTAGCAGTGAGTTTTGTAAGGGTAAATACAAATCAAGAAAGAAAAAAAATTCTCTGAGGCAAAAAGAGAGACTCCACCTATCCATCACTTTTCTTAGACTATTTAATTTAGAAAACTTATAATTGTGAATTCTTCCTATGTCCTTTGAGATATATGTAAATATTTATAAAAGTTAATTAAGTAAGTCCCTTGCCAGCTTTAAAACCCAGTCATCTTTTTCTTGAAGACCAAAGGGCATCTCTTTGAAATGTAATCACGGAGGAAGCTAGGATACCATCTCCTAGTTTCCAAGGGAGGTTGGGAGCCTAACATCAGCAGGAGCCAGGATCCAAGTTACAAAATTCCATCCCTCCATAAAGATATGAGAAATCTATTTGTCCTTAGGATAAAGCAATCAACGAACACCAACGGCCATTCCGAAGTGAATTTAAGATGGATTTTGTGTGACAAATGGTGCTGTGAAGTCCTCTTACTTGAAGTCCAGCTGTTTATCTTAAGAACATGTGTGTCCTGGGTTGTATTTGCCTGACCATATAAAAGGTTGAGAGTTCTTACTGACTTCACTGTCTCTTTAGTAGGTTGCCCCTGATGCACTTTATATCATGGTTTAATGCATGTTCAAGAACAAAACTATTTGCTAGTAGTGTGGAGAAGTTTTCTGGAGCATCAGCAGATTTTTCTGATAATTATATTTCCCCAATAGTTTCTACCTTGGAAATCCAAGACACCAAAGATTCCCTCCATGTATTATCATGAAATCCTCAAATTTCAGTAGTAATACTACCAGTTGAGAAAGTCATCTTTGAGTAATTATTCTTACATTTTTATTGTGGTAAAATAGACATAAAATTGACCATCTTAACCATTTGATTATTTTAAAATAATCTCTATACCCCACATGGGGATTAAACTCATGACCCGAAGATCAAGAGTCACATGCTCTACTGACTAAGCCAGCCAGGTGCCCCTATCCATCTTAACCATCTTAAGTGTACAAGTCATTCACATTAAGTACATTCACATTGTTGTGCTACCACCAGCACCATTCATCCACAGGACTTTTACATCACTCCAAATGGAAACTCCATACTGAAGAAACAGAAATCTCCATTCCCCTCTTTCCCCCAGTGCCTGGTAACTAATACTCTACTTTCTGTCTCTGAGTTTGACTATTCTAAATACCTCATATAAATGGAATCATTTAATATTTGTCTTTTCTTGTCTTGCTTATTTCAATAAGCATATCTTCAAGGTTTATCCATGTTGTAGCATGTGTCAGAATCTAATTCATTTTTAAGGCTGAATGATTCAATATCCTATTGTATGTTATACACCATGCTTTATCTACTCATCCAGACTTGGACATTGGGGTTGTTTCCACCTTTTGGCTATTGTGAATAATGCTCCTGTAAACATTGATGTACAAAATACCTGTTTGAGTCTTGCTTTCTATTCTTTTGGGTATAGTGGAACTGCTAAATCATATGGTAACACTATGTTTTATTTTTTAAAGAAATGCCATATATTTGAGTAATTACGTATACCATGTTCATTTTCTGGCAATCCAATAAGCAATATGAAGTCATAATTTTTATTCAATACTGAATCTCAAAATCTTTGCATATAAGCCCACAAATGTTGAACCAAGTAATCAAATAAATGGTAGGATGTTTTGGAAGAAACTCATGGCCCAGAGACCACACTTAGAGCATTTGTCTTCCTTGTCCAGCAGACAAAGTAAAACTTTGAGATTCGGGTATCACTGAAAATGAAGACAAAGGGGCTGAATGTTGGGAAGCCTAAAGACACCAGTGCAGAGAGGTTCAACAGCCAATGGCTCGGGTTCACAACCTGGATCACCCAGAAGGATAAAACAGAAGAGAGAGAGTACAAGGAGATAAACATGCTCACCAGGATCAGGATGGTGCATGTAGCTCTGGTCTCAGGGGAAGCTCTAGGGGAAAGCCTGTTGTGAATGTAATGGACTCGCTGCTTGTGCCTGAGCAGGACGAGGACCATGGAAGCGTTAGTCCACATCATGAAGACCAAACACATAACATCAGTGAAGATATAAATGACTGCAGCTATGGAGAACACCAATCTCTCAGGAATGGGTGAGGAACAATATCTATAAATGCCCGCCATACTCAGGTTTTTACTACTCTTTGGGCCACTTACATTTGTAATAACAATTATATTTAACAACAGACACAGAATCCAGCATATGAAACAGCAGAAGCCAATGAACATTGTGGATCTAGTTCTGAGCTCCAACCACCCAGAGAAACCGGGGCAAAGCTTACTGGCCTGGAAACCACTGAGGAGGCAGGTGGTGCTGAGGGAAACCCCTCTGGCCACTCTGTACAAACAGTAGACAAATTTACATCCAGCATCATCCAGGAAAGATTTTAATCCAAAAGCTGCAAGTGTCTGAGGGATCCCTTTAGAGAAAAGAACCAAGATGTTAGCTAAGACCAGTTGGTTAAGAATCAAGTCTGAGGGTCTCAAGACCTGTTCATTGAGCAAAATAACATTATAAAGACAAAGAAGTGAAGAATTTCCAAGGATCCCAGCACCAATCTGAGTTAGGAAGGTAAGACCCCAATTTAAGTTAACAAAAATCAATCCATCCATTTAGAGGAGATGTTGTAGTTTGATTTCATTTGAATCAGAGGAATCTGGAGACTGAAAGAGAAAATTGGGTTATTCTCATTACATCCAGAAGGTGTCTTTTCTCAAAAAACTCCACACCATTATTCCATGTGAATATGAACATCATAGATGACTTCTAATTTCTGGTTCCACACATAAGGAACTTGGAAGTCACCACTACAACCTCACCACAAGTAAAAAGGTGAACAGACTGAAAAACTAACAACTCTTTTTGGATCCAGAAGAGAGGGGAGGGCACAGGGCAAACTGCTGACCCTAGATCTGTGAGACAGGTGAATACAGGAAGTCACCCCTCCCTGGAGCAGAGACACTCGTGAGCAGAAGGAACCACCACAAGAACCAGTGCCCAGGTAGGAAAACCATAATTGATGAATGGCTGGATGCTCACTGTGGACAACTCTGAGAGCTGAAAACTCTAGGGGACCTAGTCACAGCAGGACCCCACAACATTGTGAAATTATCTCCAGGAGCTTGGCCAGATTCACACCCAAATACTGAAACAAACAAACAAACAAACAAACAAAAAACCCTCAAGGTTCCTGCAGGAAGAGGGGAAAAGAAACCTTTTGGAATAAGCCAGAACAGTTCATTGTTCTCAACAAAGCCTGCCATCAGGGGAAACTAGTGAACCAGAACCTGACCTCCTGGGTATTATCAGAGCCTAACTAACCCGAGGAAGGCAAACACCCAACTCCAGCCCCCTCCAGCCATCCTGTTCCACCTAAGTGTGGAGGAAAAAAAAAAAAAAAAACAACAGAAACACTTGTGAAGTAAATAGTCCAGAAGCACAGAATACTGAGACCTAATCTTAGAGAATGCTTCCCCTCCCCTACACCTCAGTACCACATTACTAAAATTCCTGTTACCTATGCATCATGTCTGGCTATCAAGGAAAAAATTACCAGGTGGACCAGAAGGTAAAAAACACAATTTGAAGAGACAGCAAGCATCAGATCCAGACATAGAAGGGATGTTGGAATTATCAGATGAGGAATGTAAAACAACCATGATTAATATGCTAAGGGCTCTCTTGCATAAAGTAGACAGCATGCAAGAACACTTGAGCAATGTAAGCAGAGAGATGGAAATCCTAGGAAAGAACCAAAAATAAATGCTAGAGATCAAAAACACTGTAACAGAAATGAAGAATGCCTTTGATGGGTTTATGAGTAGGTTGGACACAGCTGAGGAAAGATTCAAATATATCAACAGAAACTTCAAAAGCTCAAACACAAGGAAAACAAAGGTTGAAAAAACAGGACAGAGGGGCACCTGGGTGGCTCAGTCGGTTAAACATCTGCCTTCAGCTCAGGTCATAATCTCAGTGTCCCGAGGATCGAGTCCCGCATGCTCAGTTGGTTAAGCATTCAACTCTTTTTTTTTTTTTTTTAAAGATTTTATTTATTTATTCATGAGAGACAGAGGCAGAGGGAGAAGCAGGTTCCCCGCGGAGCAGAGAGGCCGATGTGGGACTCGATCCCTGGACCCTGGGATCATCACCTGAGCCGAAGGCAGACGCTTAACCGACTGAGCCACCCAGGTGTCCCAGCATTCAACTCTTGATTTCAGCTCAGGTGATGATCTCAGGGTCCTCAGATCAGCCCTGCAATGAGCCCTGAGTCAGGCTCCGCGACAGAATTAGATAGAATGACTGTCACAACAAAAGCCAACTTAGAATAAGGTGAATTCTACATGATAAATGACCTCTTTCATGAAACAAGACATTTTAAGACAAAGAGGAAGGGTATCTATAGAATATAACAAAATCAAAGGAGATACAAATATGATACTATGGTTAGGAAATTGTTTGGATGCTGATTCAAATGAAATATTCTGAATATTTAATAAATAAGCGATTCTGAATGATTTGGTCCTTCATGGTATTGAAGAATTAATATATTTATGGATGGTAAGATACTGTAAATAAGGGGGGAAAAGTGTCTGTCTTTTAAAGTGATGTATTTAGAGATGCAATTATATGGCTTCTAGAATTTGCTTTTAACTTAAGTAGTTCCTGGAAGAAAACTGGGTGTAATACATGAAGTGAATTTAGCCATGGATTAGTCCTGGAGTAGATGTGTGGTAGATTCACATGGTCTATTATATTGCCTCTTCATCTTTTGTAGATGTCTGGAAATTTACATGTGAATGCTTTAAAATTCTTATTTGAATAACAAATATTAGAATTTGTTTTCTATTTATTGTAACATTTATTTTTTCTCCTGGGTGCCATAATTTTTTTATTTTGTATCAATTAGCACACAATTTTCAAAGAGTATTATGTTGAAGTCTCTTTACATTACTATATTTCTATCATTTTTCTGAAGCCAGATTCAAACATTGTAATGCCTTTACTGTCCAGAATCAAGTCAAAGGAAAGAGCCCAGCTATGTGAGCAGAACTGGAAACTGGAGAACACAAGGCCCAAGGAAATGGGCTGCCATTTCCCAGTTCTAACTTTTTTTGACATCTGTGTTCCAGTGTCATCAAATATAGACTGTTTTTAAAAATACATCCTTAATTCTTATAAAAAAACAAATTTCCAATTAAAAGCCAAAGCACTCAAACAAAATATGTCTATTGTTTGGGTGAGACCTCCTGACCTTCACTTCCAGATCTCAGGAATGGATGGAGCGGTGGTTTATTAAGAGAGCACTGCCTCTTGTACGATTTTAATTTTTTCCATATTAAAGAGCACAGCCTTGCTGGAGGGGAGGTGGGTGGAGGGATGGGATAACTGAATGATGGGCATTAAGGAGGGCATTTGATAGAATGAGCACTGGGTGTTATATGCAACTGATGAATCACTAAATTCTACCTATGAAACTAATAAACTGTATGTTAATTAAATTGAACTTAAATAAATAAGAATAAAGAGCACCCTTTATAATTATTAGAATGGTATAGAGTATTAGAGTGGTTATAACTAGCCACAAATGAAAAATTTTCAGAACTATGACCACAATGTTGAAATCCACCATTTTTAAGATTACCAAAACATATCTCTAGCAAAGACAAGGCAAAAGTATAACCATAAGGAATTCCTTGGCAATCACAAATTTACCTTTTAATCTGTGGAGATGATACAGTGGACTATTTGCTAAATAAATAGGTAATTAGTAAATGGAATAAAATGAATTATTATTAACATTTATAAGTTTAGAAAATGTACAAAGGTAAGGTAAAATGAATAATTTATAGATGTTTCTATATATACTACTATATATACTATTCTATATATAATACTATATCTACACATATGTGTAGATATAGTATTGTATTTGAAAATATGAGGGGAAAAAAGTGCTTTGAGAAAATGTGTGTAAATGTATAGAACCACAGAATTAAGTAAATATTCAAGAAAATACTTTAAAATAAGATCTAAAGAAATGCACAGGGAAACAACTATCTTGCATTAAATGCCTCAACATTTACATGATTTGATCTGGGCATCTGGGTAGCTCAGTCGGTTAAGTGTCCAACCCTGGATCTCAGTTGAGGTCTCGATCTCACCATTGTGAGTTCAAGCCCCACAATAATAAATAAATAAATAAAATTTTAAATAAATAACTGGATCAACTAAATATAATTCTGTATAAACAATGTAATTTGTAACTAAGTGCCACACAATCCAATATCCTGTACTGGAGAAAGGAGAAGGAACAAGAGGAGAGGGAAGGGGAGGGACGGAGGAGGGGGAGAAAGCTCAGAAAACACTATAAGCAGGATAAATGTCCAAAAATCTACATGTAAGCATATTATTTTCACTTTACAGAAAATCAAAGATAAAGAAAAAAATCCTGAAAGAAAAAATACCTTACCTGTAGAGGAACATGAGAAGAATTACATCCATCTTCTCAGAAACCATGCAATTGAGTAAGAGGGAGAACAACAAGATTTTGGTCAATATTTTCAAACAAGAAAATATTTGAATCCTGGACCAGCTGTGTTTATGGATCTGGGTGCCCTTCAAAAAGGCAGTCATTCATGGAAAAATAAAGACCTTTTCCCTTTACTTTATCCAAGTATTTTCTACGGAGGCACAATGCGGGATTAAACTGGGCACGTCTTACCTCCCAGCACAGTAACAGGAAAACACCGGCTCCACAGATCTTCTAGCTTGGAACAGATGAAATTCTCACTGCTTGATGACTGAGTGGGGTGACAACTGCAGAAATCTCAACAGATCTGGGGCAGATGCAGAGGTCTGCAGACTACCAAAGCATTTCTAAATCCGGTTAACATGTCAGAGTGGCATTAAGACATTAACACATTTTAATCCCTGATTATTCCTGCTCACTAAACCTGGTAACCTCTCTCTGAGAGAGAGAGAAATAGAGAGAGGGAGAGAGAGATACTAATTTCTATTTCCTTAAATTGGGGATAGTTTAACTTCTTCACCCTGACCCCAGAAATTTCAAGGAGAGATGAAATTACTGGTGCAATAAAGTATACCCTGCTCCCCAGAACCCAGAACAAAGGAGATGGAGGATTACACTGATCACAGAAGGCTTTCAGAGACAAACTGTCATAGCCAACCAGAGCACAACATACCACCATAGATGTTTTATTTTTTTTTAAAGATTTCATTTACTTATTTGACAGAGAGAGAGACAGCGAGAGAGGGAACACAAGCAGGGGGAGTGGGAGAGGGAAGCAGGCTTCCCACAGAGCAGGGAGCCCGATACGGGGCTCGATCCCAGGACCCTGGGACCATGACCTGAGCAGAAGGCAGACACTTAGCGACTGAGCCACCCAGGCACCCCTTAAAGATTTTATTTATTTATTTGTCAGAGAGATAGAGAGACAGAGAGAGCAAAGCAGAGGAAGCTGCAGGTAGTGGGAGAAGCAAGCTCCCTGCCAAGCAAGGAGCCTGATATGGGACTCGATCCCAGGACCCTGGGATCATGACCTGAGCCAAAGGCAAATGCTTAACTGACTGAGCCACCCAGGCGCCCCCC